CACACACACAGACAGCCTCTCGACAATATGCGTTTTTGCTGGCTGTAGCAGCGCTATAGCTATAGCAACTGACAAGTATAATACAATTGTAAATAGCATTTCTTTCGTGCTGGAAGTCGAGGGTTCGATTCCGCCAGTGGAGACAACCAATCTCTCTATGATTCGTTCGTTCGTCTCGATGTCAAGCTAGTATTAGCAAAGGAGTGGTACCTGGTGCGATCTGGCGGCAAATTTAATCATGCCCCCTTGTCCACCGTCCCAAACAGGCCCGTATCGTAAAAATGAGCTCGATTCAAGGAGTGTAGCCCTCCACGGTTCTCACGGTTTTTTCGATACCAGAACCAATTATCACATATTTAAAACCAACCATACAAACAGACAGGAAAACAAAGAACAAACCCAGGCTAGGCTCGCACCAAGTTTGCCAGTGCGCACTTACGTTTCTGCACTAAATTTGAGGCATTCATGTCGTTGACTGATTGAATGATTGTTGTTTCAACTTGTGTACCGAGCGGTCGTTTATTAAAAATCACTGGCTGCTCTTGTTCCTGAATCAGCGATTTTCTCGCCAAAACTCTCATGCATTCGTACTTGAGAACCGCGCATACGTGGAGCTGAACTTGAAATTTATAAGTTTTAGCAGGGAACATCCCGTTAAAATTTCAGATTTCTAGCTCTTGTTGTTCCGGAGTTAGCAATTTTCCCGTCAAAATTTTCCATTTATCCATACGTGAAAAGCATGAGACGCAGACGTGCGTGAAAGTTAAAGACATGTTCCTGGGGCTGCACTTGGCCAGGTAACACAGAATAGCAAAATTCTGAAATACCTCTACAGACGAATACACATGCACATACGTGAACACACACACACACACAAGCATACACATAGAGCTGGCACAATATGCGTTCTTGCTGCCTTTTGCAACGCTCCGGTAAAAACACAAAAGAGTGAAAGATTTTGTTCTAATGAGCTAGCCGTGAGGATAGGACAGAAGTGGATAATTGTGTACTTGTCCTAACTGTTGGTCACACGTCTTTGGCGAGTTAACCGCTGAGATGTCAAGTGGGCACTTCATTATCAGTGGATGAAAGGAGCCGCACAACGGAGCAGAAGTAAGGTAACATGGAAGTTCGCTGAGGTTTATTTCAAGTACCATTGAGTTTGATGCACAAAAGACATACCGAATTTTTGATGTGTCAAATTTTTTGCTAGTCATTTCGCATTGATCTTGAGGAAAGAATGATGCTTTGCGCCCCGACTGTTTGCCTTACCAATGAATTGGGTCTATTTTTGCACTTCCCTCCCTCCCCTGCACTATACCACTAATTTTTACAAATTCGTCTTAGTCAGGAACTAAAAATTTATACTTTTTATAGAACTCGTCATCCTAAGTCAATTGCTAGTGGTTAACTTCTGCTGAAATTGTTAAAGAAATGTACGGTGTTCTTTTCCACTAGTTTTTTCAAAATTTCAATTCAGTCAGGAAATCAGTATTTTGTAAGTTATATACGACTGGTTATTTTAGGTCTGCAGTAGTTTGCTGAAGGTCATATCC